TTTTATTAGCCGCTTCGATTATTATATTACGTCTGGGTATTACTTTTTGACAGGAGCTCAGGTTTTGCGTTGTGTTTTCCCCTCCCTCATTTATATCATAAGCTAGTCACGCAATAGTTGATACCGACATAAGTGATTATTTACTACTTATAAAGATTTTTGTTTACGTTGAATTGAAAATATGAAAATATGTGCTTTCTTCACTGATCGTTGTTTCAGCGGCAGCGAAGCGGTTAAAAGTGGGTTGTTGCTTCAACGCTACTGAAATTTTTAGTATTCAGACAGGCGAACAAAGCGTGATGCTCTGAGAATAAAAACTTTTAGGGGCCTTTTACATGATATCCGAATGAGTTTTGTACCAGAACGAGTTCATACCGGTTGCCACATAATAACCAGCGTAAAATTTATTCGAAATGAGTCATTTCTGAGTGAGTTTATTGGGGTTTTCATTACTAAACGAAAGACTCATTCTAGACGACCTTTTCTACCTGTACAATGTAAACGCGGCACGGCTCTCATGTTTGTATGAATCCTCTGTAGGAGCGAGGGAAGCATTGGAAAAGACAGAAAAGGACATAAAGACTTCTTCCACACAGATAAGACTTAAGCTCCTTTTATAATTTTATGTAAAGGGGTCCCCTGGGGATGCTAATACGTGCAGCACACTTGACCTTTAGCGAGGAAAATTCTGATGTGATTTTGGCGAAGAGAAACATGTTTTGTCAGCGTCTAGTCGCTAGTGCGGAAGGGCCCTTTACCACCGTGTGCATAATTACGCGTCCCTCCAGACGGCGGAAAGCTAACAAAGTGTTCAGACATTACTTCAGAAAACTCCGCCTCTGTCTGAATTTTTGGTAGCCTATTGACCAATTCCCAATCGAGACTTAACTCTGACGTCACGCGTAATTTTGCTCACGGTGGTAAGTAGCCTACTTACCGAAGCCAGATTGTAAGAATCTTCCAGACATTTTGAGTACTATCTGTGGTACACGCTTGCTAATTCCCCTATCAGCTTTTGGAATCGACTTAACCCTACCTTTACCATGGCCAGACATTTCTTTTGGCACCCTACATCTGCTATTGGAACTACGATTCCACCCAACACCGAGATTTGATCTGTGAGAGGGGCAATTTGTAAAATCATCGATATCTTTTGGCGTCTCGAAGATGCCGGCACGCGACAAAACAAGATCAATTTCATTTTCTGGATCTGAAAACTTGCAACTCCGCAAGTAACATGAAATGTCTTTTTAACAATCACGCAAGGGAACGACTTGGTCTTCTCGATAACTACACCCACAAGTTCCACCAGCGAACGATTTAATTAAATAGCAAATCTCCATGTTAGCATGTAAGATGAGACGCTTATAAAACAGATCAGTTAGCTAAATCAGTATGTAGCTTGTCAATCAAATTGACCACCATACTTTGACTTCAGCCGATAAAGGAATCATTGATGGATCTGAATGCAGTAATTCCTGAAAGGTTTTTCTAGATGTCATGCAAAGAGGAAAAAAAACCCATATCTTGGTATTTCGGAGGTTGATTCATCTTTGAATTTCTGTGTCGCGCTTGTCACGCAACTGATATAATAAGTTAGAGAAGATATATAAACTGGAACTCAAATCTGGCTAGAACGTGGTAGAGCATAATTAACGTGATCATCGAAACAGCTAATAAAATCATAAATAAACAAGATAAGAGTGTTATGTTAGATTTTTTTTACAAGTTGTAGTGATTTATGCCAGTTAACGGTGGCGACAAGTAGGCGCACTATGTACATTTCATAGTCGCTATCAAGTAAATTTTGCCGGACTTTGAGTGAGTCTCAAGATAGAATAACGCAAATACACAAGGAAATTTTACAGTAACTTTCTAACCATCCTTTGGTCTTTTAAAAGCTTGAAGTTCAGTAGATTGTGTCATATCGGTCATTGTTAAAACTGTCTTTGTTTTGATGCTACTTTTCGACATAGGAAAAGTATGTCAGACAAAAATATTCACCAAAAAATAAATATTTCTTGGCAGCTTCAATAACGACAGGGGATTAAGTTTAGATGATAAAACAAAGGATTATGTTCACAGAAATACCGTAGGTCTAATACATTCGATACATGAGGTCACACAACTCGGGTAATATTCACAGTGAAAATTTGCATATTTTAGAGGTCGAACGAAAAAAATTATTTCTCGAAAACTAAAATATATTTTTACAAAAAAACTACACCACAATTATCAGAACATATTGGGCTACAAAATATAAAAGTAGGAGGGAAAACAAATTTGAGTGACTTGCCGCTGTTTGTTTGATGCATATGCATGCTGACATTAGCTCTTAAATCAATGTAAAGGAATTAAATTTCTAAACATCCTATTTTCTCATTATCCTACTAAATTTCTTCTTCATTACGTAAAGAAATGACTCCATTCTTACATAACACAAAAGAATTCAGCGCTACAAGCCGCGATTGTTTTGGTAGTAGAAAAAAATTAAAGGTAAATATGCGTAAAATATTTGAAATATTTCATTTATCTGATGCTGTCATGGAAGTTGATGTTGCAAACGTTTTTTTTAAATTTTTTTTGCGATCGACTGACATTTCATTTTCAGCGATCATCTTCTGATCTCAAGGCATACCATGGTGGCTTTGAAAAAAATTTTGTCATAAAAATAACAAATTAACGTACGACTTTAAGTCTCTTCCTCCTCTTCCTCTTCTTCCTCCTCTTCCTCCTCCTCCTCCTCTTCCTCCTCCTCCTCCTCTTCCTCCTCCTCTTCCTCCTCCTCCTCCTCTTCCTCCTCCTCCTCCTCTTCCTCCTCCTCCTCCTCTTCCTCCTCCTCCTCTCCTTCTTCGCCAGACTCTGTTTTGCTGCTTCCGTAATGAGATGTTTTTCTTCTATCCAAATGAAATGTAAGCATTTTTGTTATTTCTTCACACAGTACCTTCCACTTTTTTCCATAGACTCCTTCATCCACTTTATCAGGATGATAAACACCGAGAGCTTTGATAAGAAGCTTCTTATATTGATCGGAATTCATGCCCAATTCTTCCCAATGTTTCATTTCTTCATCACTCGGTTTCTTCCAAGATGGATTTTTAGGTGGATAGTTGTTATACAAGAATTTGATTAACTTCGCAGCAAGACCTCTGTGAGCTCCAATTTCCTCCAGTTCTTGTGACAATTCCTCCAAGAAACCTGATCTTTCTTTGCTTTTCTCTTCTTCGTCCCTCTTTTTCGTTTCCTCTTGGTATCTCAGCAGAGTTGCTGTGCAGTCTTTGTACCACTGACAGGCTGTGAACATGCGAGGTTTTAATGATTCTGCCAACTCAAAACAATGGGTGTAGTAGGCTTTCGCTCGCAGGGTGATCCTCAGGACCTTGTCATAGACATAACCCAAGCGACTTTCGGCGATAGCTTCTTGCTCGATCTCCACATTTCTTGCGAGAACGACAGCTTGCTTAAACCAGTCGATAACTTCAAAGATCAGAGTCATTTGCAGTGCTTCCTGCTCTAACAAGGCGCTCTGAAGAAGTTCCTCTCCCATCATTCGTGCTTGCACGGATTTAGCGGCACAAGTATGAAAGAACACATCCTTCTCTAGCACTCTGGCCTCGTTCAACATCTCGTAGTTAATTCTGAGGGCATCACCGCGCTTCGATAACCGTTTAACTTCTTCAATTGGTTGATAACAGTCGGTCATCCGAGACAGGCATTTCTTGTAGTCGCCATTTTGCAACTTGGTCGTACCATCGTGAAAATAAAGTGTCGCTAGACTCATGTGCACGTCGATCGAAGCTTCGTCCACACTGGTAATTAATGCAAGTTTTTCAAGCTGTGCGATCTTTTGATCAGTGTCGACGAAGGCTTCTGAAGCATCGATCACCTGTTGTAAACAAGCACAAATTGTTTCAAATACTTCGCCTCGCCACTCGTCATCTTTCCACTCTTCACTGATGTTGTAAGCTTTACACAAAGCTTTGATGGCCTCATGAAGATAAAAGATGATAACATCTGGTTTCTCTTGCGGCTCTTTATTAGTGAGAATATCGGCTATCTTCCATGCAGCTTTGCCGATATTCTTCGCAGCAGAGCATTCTTCCTCCTGGTTCTCGGATTTATCTTTTGCCTGGTAGTAGCAAGAAAGTGCTCGCTCATATAGATCCTTTGCTTGCAGCGGTGATTCATCCGCGTTTAAACTTCCAGCCTGACGGAAAAATTCGTTTCCTTGATTCCTAAGAAGGCTGGAAAGAGACATGCCGTTTCACCGTCTTCTCCGTTCGCTACTTCCGCAATTTGACGCTTCCTCTTCTGTTGCCGTGGCAGAGTAAACTGAAACTGGGCCCCAATTTCAATGTTGGACCTCGTCCTCCGCAACTTCTAGTTTCAAAGCGACTTAGCGTGCTTTCGTAGTCACGCAGTTTGACTCAGATAAAAGAAACAGCATGTTGATGTAACTATATGACCATTTCGATAGAAAAGAATTATGTTCTTGCACAAGAGTGAAAGGGAGCGAACTTGCTACGGGGCGAAACCTCCATTTACCGTTCAGTGATCGGCCATGATTTAAGTCCGTGAAATCGTCACGCAATAGTCAAGTAAGTATTTTGCAATGAAAAGTTCGATATGCGCTTTTTACTTCCAGTTGTCCCCTTCCTTCCCATTGAGAGGTAAAGGCCTGGGTGTAAAGTTGCCTGTTGAGTGTCAGTTGGAGCTCAAGGTTGCAACAAGGGGAGGGGGGGGAGCTGATCATGACCCCCCTTTGCAAGTCTTTCTTTAAGAACACAACATATAATATTCAGATGAGATGGCGAACACTAGTGAGTAACTGTGTGACCCCTCTCCCCCCTTTGGAAAATCCTGGGTACACCCCTGAAGGTGTGATAGGCCCCCTTCTGTCACCCCCTCCTCCCTACTCCAGTAGCACTGAAATCTAATTAGCTCTTATCATCACAAGGTTTAGTACGAGAGAAGTGGAGAGAACACTTAAACTAACACAGTACATCAGATCACAGTTTAATCCATTCATGCTTCACCTTAGTTCCTAATATAAAGACCCTATAAAACAGGGTATCATTAACAACTGCACACACAAGTTACTACATGGCCATACTGACAAAAATACCTCATGATCATAATATATCTTTCCACATGATCATAACACAATTGGTGTAAGGTGCACATGTCTGTTTGGAAGTTGTTCTACTATCTCTATGACAAAACCAATGTACATATTCTTTGTGATATCTTTATCATAACTTAGGTTGTTAAAAAGAAGGAAATCTATGGAAACTCTACATGTGTTCAACAAGTTTGGTATTTTGGGGAAAAAAATAACCTATTTTTTAAGTAACAAGAGTTGCCCTTGTTAAAATACCACAGATGGAAGAAAAATTACCCAAAAGCACAGTACCCCATGATCCACAAGTAGCACAACTTAAAATAAAATAAATAACAGTGATTTTAGTCAGTTATTTAACCCTTAAACTACCATAAGTGATTAACCCTTTAACTCCAAAACAAATTTTCAATTCTCCTTACTATCAACCATACAATTCTTACAATGTTAGTTCAGAGGATTTAGTATTCGATCAACTAATTATCCCCAAATTGATATTTTTCTTTATTCTCATCACTCATCTGGTTGATATTGTATTGATATTGTAAGGAGAAACTCTGTCTTGGTCACTCATGGGAGTTAAAGTGTTAACATTTAACTTATCCTTGTAACATCCATACATTATCCACAAAACATGTAATGAGATTACTTAAACTTGTCAGGTACAAGTTGTTATCTTGATCGAAGACCACACTCTCATATCAACTGAAGGGGAGAATTAATACTCAGATCTTGAGGGTTAAGGGGTGTCATTTTGAAACAAATATCCTCCTTGAGTCAGTGTTCACTTTGAATTAGCAACTAATGCTATTGATGAAAGAAATGTTGCTGTGTTGAATTTATTAAATATAGAATTTTAAGAATATTACCATGATGGTGGACTACTAAATCTGATCAAAAGTTGGGGCATGGTCAACAAGGATTCTACAATCATTTTTTACATTTATTGGTAATCCTTGCTTCTGTAAGATTGACTACTCTGAAAAACTAAGGAGATAAAAATTCAAAATACCTTTAATGTATTATAGTCACTGCAGTTCTTATGTCTGTCCATGAAACATAGCCAATTACAAGTGGTTTATTCTATATACAGCCTCTTCACTTGCAGGTTAAATGAACAGTTGTTTCCATTTTCCAAACAATATTAATTTTGCTTCATCCTAGTAAAAACCCACAATAACTTAATTTGACTTAAATAAATATCCTTTCAAAAAGTTCTAATAGTAATCTGTGAGTTATTCCCAATACTTAACACAAATTGTTCAATATTAATTACACACCTTGAAAATAACCATTATGATATCTTAAGAGTAAAAATTATTACTAATTAATAATTCTTTCTGTTGAAAACAATTTCAATTGGAAGGCCACAATTTTTTTGCAATAAATCTAGTATTGTTTCAAAATGGGGCTAACCAATTTAACTGGGGAAATTATTTAACATTAATAATAAACAGTAAATGATAATAGAATTCAAGACATTCAATGGCTGGTGATGACATGGCAACAATAATGATAATGATGTAGAGACTATAATAATGATAATGAAAATGATGTTGATGAGAACAATGATGACAAAAATAACAGCAATTATTTCAGAATAAGGACTGGCATGTATTGAACTCAACTCCTGGTTGTTCATTGTTCAAGAACTAAGTATGAGATTTCCTTTTGGTATATCACATATCAACAAGTTTTTTGTATTATTCAATACACATGTAAGTATTTCCCTGTTGCACAGTGGCCCAATTTTCTGAAAAAAATTCTGCAGTGAACAACAAAGTTATACTTTTGCCACAGCAGTCAGTTTTTCACTCCCTGGCTTAGCTTGATTCTGTGGTCTTCCATACAACAGTACAGCTGATATAACCAGTGCAGCACCAAACAAGAACTGTCCACTCACATGAAAGTCGAACAGATACACAGATACTACACAAGAAACAATAATTGCTAATGATGTTGCAAAGCCCTTAAGAATGTTATCTGCATACTTCACCACTACAGCAACCAGAAGCCCACCAAATGCCTGCATAAAGATTACAATCCAAACCAAGGTGGAATATCCAAACATAATGCCTTTCTCATCAATCTTGTCACCATCCTTGACACGCATTCCAATAAGGCCAATAACTGTTCCATAGATTCCCAGTTGAATGTTTCGGATCCAGATGGATGCTTGTGAACCTTTCAAAATCTTCTCAAAATAAACACCTAAGACACAACAGGGAAAAGCATCAAAATGAGGCAACAATGAGTAATACCATGTGCAGGGGTTTCAAACTGTTTTGAAATAGGCATCAGACTCAGCCAAAGTAGGTGACTGTTAAAAATTCATTTAAGGCCAAAAGGTAATTATTTTGACCAGAGTAACCAGTGACACATCATTATGCCATTAAATAGCTGGTGAAACTCAGGCAGTCACCAGCTTGTTTTAAAATCCCTGCTGTATAGTAAACACATACACCCATCAATATTTTTTATAGGTCAAATACATTTGAATTTTGTAATCATATCAACAAAATCTCTGAAAAAAATGTGACTTCTTGGGAATATCAGAGAAAACATTCTGACTTATGACTTTGATTCCAACCTTGCTCTGCTAGAGGATGCACCTGCTTATGAACATTTTTTAACCAAATACTTGCCAAAATTTTTGAATGAAAGTTGGTGGTTTGCCAGTTAAAACAAAAAAACTTGGAGCTATCTTGCCTCTACATGAAGGGTGAACTCTTAGCCATAGATAAGGATTCAAATAAGACATATTTATGTACTGTAGTTCCATTCAATATGGCTCGTTTATATTGAATTATTTTAAAATGTTATTACTTGTTGAGTTGTACAGATGGAGGCTATGCTTAAGATTATACACTTAGTGTGAGTCAGCTTACATACATGTTTTTCAAATACATGCAGGGTTTTTCTTTATTATTATTACTGGACTGGAAATATCAATTTTTTTTGCAATGTTGTATTGCATGAGATTTTTCTAAACTGGGAACCTGAATTATGTCACAATCTTCAAAATCTGTTAAATCTACAAAAATTTCCATGGTACACTGTATGCACTATTTCATACTTTAACACATTAACTCCCAAAATCTTAATAGAAATTCTCCTCATTGTCTGCCATACAATTCTTGTGATGTTAGTTTGGAGAATTTGGTATTGGATCAACTTATTATCCCCTAATTGATATTTTTCTTTATTCTTATCACTTGTCTGATTGATATTGTACTAATATTGTAAGGAGAAATTCTGTCTTGGTCACTCATGGGAGTTAAAGGGTTATAGCCTAACCTGCAAATCCAGAGCAAAGTGTGGACAAAATAACGGCAACCAAACCCAGTAGTGGGCTCTGAGATTCTTTCAATTGCTGTGCCGTCTCCACAGATTGGTTATCTTTATCACTTGAAGAAGTTCCACCTGTTGGCTGCAGCTGCACAATTGAGACTCCAACAAAGAGCATGACTAAAGACAGCCACTGAAGTTTCACAAGAGTTTTGTTGAGCATGAAGACTGAAAACAGGGCTGTTGTCAAAATTTTCAACTGATATGTCACCTAAATGGGAGAAAATCAATAATAAAAAATTTGAGTTATCCCTAACACTCTAACATCAAGATGCATATTCTCCATTCTGTTCTCTATAATTTTTTAAGGCATTGAGAAGGAGAATTTGTTTGACAATCAAGAACTCCTTTAGTTGGAGATTATTTCCTTTAATTCTCATGATATTAATGTGTGATTCAGTGGTGATATTGTAAGGAGAAATTAGATGCTAGTCACTCTTAGGAGTCAAATGATTAAATAAAGGGAAAATGAATATTAAAGATAATTTCTGCACTTAAGGAGAATGAATGACTTAGGGATGTAATGAATTCCATAACTATTATCACAGTGTACAGTCTTTGAAATCACTTCAGTCAGCAATTAAACCAAAAAGAAAATAAATCATCATCTAATGCACTTCTAGGCATTCCTTCTAATGGGTGGATAATGCTATCCAATGGATAAATCGCTACCCAGCGGATATGAGATAACAAAACATGTAGCATTATCCACTGAATAGAGATTTATCCAATGGAAAGCATTATTCGTTCTTCAAACAACCTGGGCCTGATGTATTTTTTTCTTCCACCTCCGCACAGAATTTTTTAACCATGTAAAAGAAAAGTTATCAAATCAATCAACAAATAAGGAAAATAATGAAAATGGGTAAGAGTACAATCCAATAATTAACCATTTACACTCTAACATCAGTGTTCATATTCTCCATACTGTTATCTGTACATTTACTAAGGTGCTGACAAGGAGAATTTGTCTAATAATCAGAGTTTCTTTAGTTGGTGATCATTTCCTTTATTCTTGTGTAATTAATGTGTGATTTAGTAGCAATATTGTAAGGAGAAATTAGATGCTGATCACTCTTAGGGGTTAAAGGATTAATACCTGAAAAGTGGCAGCATCCAGATTGGAAATAGCAGTGTACTGTAGATTATTCTGTACGGTGTAAATTAGTGCTGGAACAGATAGTTTCAGTGTATCCCATGGCTGTCCAATAATTGATGAATATAGCAAATCAAAAAAATCTGGAAAGCTCCGCTTCTGGGCAAGTATAATTAACAAACATGCCAGTACTTTTAAGACTTCTGCAAACACCACGGCAGTTGTAGCAATGTACATGTCTCCAGGCAAGGTGCGCGAGTAACGTATCGTAAGAATAAGAGAAGCATTCTGTATTGTCAAGGTGAGGAGACTAATGTACTTCAGGTTACACCAACCACTACCTGTGTGATGAACAGAAATAATGATAAGAGTGACATCAAACCAACCATTAGCCTTTGAAGTAAACTTTAACACTTTAACCTTTTCACACCCAACAGTGATAAAAAAGAACATTCTCTTTACAGATTTGATACAATTTTGCACAGAATGGTGATGAGAATCAAATGATTAAATAAAGGGAAAATGAATATTAAAGAAAATTTCTGCACCTGAGGAGAATGAATGACTTAAGGGTGTAATGATGAATTCCATGACCATTATTACAGTGTACATTCTTCAAAATCACATCAGTCAGCACAGATAATCATCAATTACAAGGTATAGTTTCATTTTAACACCAAATTCTCAAAGCAAAAATTATAAAAAAAGTATAGCAATCTGTGCAGAGAAGTTATGTATTGATCTTGGGAGTGAGTACATGGGCTAATATTTTGATTCATTGCACAGAGGCCCAAGAAATAACAAAATTAATACTTTTAATCAATGTATCCCTTGGTGGAGAAGGCTATCTCAGAGTGGAAACTCCTATACTAAAAAAAATCCATTTTGAGCTACAAGCATGCTGCAGACTTACAGACTTATGAGTTCAAAAGATCAAAGAAGGAAGAGAGAATTTTGATCTAATTTGTTTCTCCAACGTGATAATGATTGATGGAAGCATAAAGTAATATTGTAGGTAATTTAGCTCAGAACAGATGAGTTTGTATGTTATTATATGGTGCAGTGAATCATTCCCCTTATCTTTTCCCTTCCTGAACTAATTGTGAGCAGAAGAACAAGTTCCCAATAACAATATCTGTGCTAAACTCCAGCTAAAATTATCAAAAATTCAGGTACCTAACCTCATCGAGGAGCAACCATGAAATACTGGCCTATCGCCCTCTTAGTTCACCTTGTTGCCAATTGCAAGGCTATGGCGATGAGGGATTACAAAATTTAAATGATAATGCTAAAACTTATTCAATAAGATGCAAATTAGCGACCCTGTTTTCTGTAATATACCCTTTGTTTAGTAACAAAAGCATTAGATGTCCACGATAACTACAGATTACTACAAAAAAATATAGAATTATTTCTACGGCAGAGATTTCAATAATTAGGGTCATGGTCGACGGGGGCGGTTACTTCGGTAGTGGAGACAAGCACAGTAGAATTGAAAAGGGTACTGTTCAAGCACAGTTGAATAAACACCATTTATTACCACACGATTTATTTCTGCCACGTAGATATAAATTTCGAGCTTCGTTTAATTTTACATCTTGACTTTTCAGATTAGATTCGTAGATATCAGATTTTCCACTGTGCTTTCGAGGAATACTAGAGCAAACATATTACAAACCCACAATTTCTGCAGATCGATATTTGGCTCACAGCAAATTAAAAGATCAACAATATACACCAGATACCGCGATATTTTAGCGGGCGAAGAATTAAATATTGTGAGAGCACACTGCAAATGTTTATAACAAATTTGGGCCGAATGCTTCGACAATTCAGCGATTGTCATCGTTACGCTCGACAAAGGAAAAAACACATCTAGTTAACAAGATAAGAAATGATTGATAAAATGGGAAGATACGTCCCTGTAACCTAACAATCTGATTCATTTACCTTCATTCACTTGCTTTGTTGCCACCATGTTTGTTGCCTTCTGTCTTATGAGCCCGCGATGCCAGACGCTACGTCAAGGCGGACTTCAGATAGAGAAGGAATAAAGTATATATTCTGTAACGATTTGCTAATAACACTGAAGTATGTTCATCATGTATGATTCGTGTTAACTGTACAGGCATTTTAGGCGTGCTTGTAGGTACGATGAATCCCTAAGGCTACCAGGCTATCTAAGATTTTGTAACTTTTGCATGCAAGAGCCACTCAAAGGCGTCTCTGTCAACTTTATTCACTACCGTAATTTCTTTATAACGATGTAACGCTCGCTGTATCCTGCATCAATAAACGAGATCCCCTCTCCTGATGCTGTGTTTGTGTTTATTAAGATTAATTAAAGAATATTTTATAATCGTTTCAGGGTGATTATGGGATTAAAGGACTTCTGTGGCTGTACGAATATGGGGGCACGCAAACAAAATTAGTTTCCCGTTGCAATCAAAATACATATCTAACATTCCCTACCCGCAGTTAATAGCAGTTAATCGAAGGGGTGAGGGGAATAAACAGTGACAGAAATTCTTCAAAACCAACATCTTGAAGGAAGCGGTCGATCACCATTACGGCTTAACTGCGTTGATGATATGTGATTGTGTTGAATCCCTTGCGAGGAACTGACATTTAGACTTGTGAATTCTGATGTTCTTCTACTAAGAAACCGATAGACCACAAGCAGTCACTGCTTTTCAGCGAGGTTCATCGCTCGAGTAAACTGGAAAAATCAATGAAGAAAAAATTTTAGGTGTGCAGCGCGAAACTCTGGGGATGGGGCGCACCTAAACTACGATTCGTCACGACTCTGAAACACAGTGCCCTCCACTGAACCGTCCGTAACCTTGGGACCTGCGACAGTAGCGTAATACGACAGAAGAACTCACAGTAGATCTAAGAAACCAAGGTAAATTAGCCTCTAAACGCCGAGGTTCGATCCTGATTGGAACAGTAAAACACAGATCTCGTTAGCAACTCGTGTTCCGTGAAGAACTGATACCTCAGCGCTGGAACGCTAGAGAGTAAAGCTAATCCAATCGCATTGATAATGCTTATCTCCCGCGACCCATGACTGCTGGAGAAGTCGGGAATCGAGTCAGCATGGAGTGCTCCGTAGTTCATAATTAATTTTATTTACACGAAAACATTGCTACGAAAATATCGCTACAGAGGAATACTGAAAAACGCCGTAAAATTTTGCCCATGGCTTCCGCAATCAATTAGGCTCACCTGCTTATAAAGGCGCTAATATCGAGAAACACTGCTTACGGTCGTGATTGCAATTTGCGTAAATGTCTGGGCTCTAATTGTCGGAACACAGATGGATTAACTCTGGAAACATACATTTCAGTACCATGGTGCAAACTTTAAAATGAAATGTTAGAACGGACCTGAAAAATTAAAGTTGTGAATCTACCTGATAAAATACTGAAAGAGAAGAATCTTTTCGTTTGAAGAGCCTTTTATGTTGGCAAGATAACCACAACCCACGACCATGCATAACCTGACCGGTTGTGAAAGAGTTGCGAGAAGAAATGCCCATATATTTGTTCTGATACCTGTTCGCTAGTAAACTTAAAAAATGTCAGATTCGTAGATCTAATAACGCAGTATGATAGGAATGATTTCTGAGAACAAATAATTTGTATTAAAATCACTTTACCGAGAAAAGGAGAAGATAACCAGAAATGTCATCGTGCCTGACCCGAACATTAACGAGATCTGTACGATCTATCATAGGTGAGCCTGTAGGATCTAATTTTTTTATGTTTTTCTTCCCTTGTCAATGCGTTTTTTTTTCGTAGAGAAAAGCTTATTTATTTTCAAATTCTGTATGTTTTCTTCATCATTTGTCTTTAGGTACTAAGAATAATAAAACAAGATATGTTACATCGTCAAGTTCGCGTGCAATTTTTTAGTGCAGTGTTTCATGTCTCAAGTTTCAAAATATTGGCCAAAAAATATTCAAAATTAAAATGCTCTCGGCAAGAATAGAAATCACGAGAAACAGAACTTACCATGCACATTATTACGTTGAAGAAAGAATTGTACGAAGCAGAACCATTTTGTTTTCGCTGTTGACGTAGTTGTTGGTTTTTGAAAAAAAATCATCGATCGGTAATATACCAAACAATTCCTCTAGACTCAATGGCTGCCGCTTTCCCAGAATTACGTGACGTCACTGTGTCACTCAAACAGTATATATCTTTCACGCAGTGGGATGCTATTGGAAGATTTTTGAGGTTACTTACCCAAGCGAGAAGTTCTCAACTCAAAACTCATCATTGGGCGGCGATGATATTTGTTTCTTCTGAGCTTCTGAAACAGGGAGGATAGTTTACGTAAGTTTTTACATTTTCTGTATTAACTAGACGCGTCGCGCAAAGAAACTTGGAGAAAGCTTCTTATATAGCAACGAAATAATTCAGTTCAATTTCGTCCATGGGTATTTTCCATTATCCAACGAGGTTCGAAAGGAATGGAGATGGAGTGGATTTTCTCCAGTATAACTTTTATAGCACAAAGATGTGAGGTTGATTTGTAATTTTTAATGTTCGTTGACTAACTCATGTAATACAAAGATGACTAGCGTGTAGAACAAACCGTGAAAGTAACGTGAAATTTTATTTGATTTGTGCCTCAAGTTCACAGTTGACCCACACACGAAAAAAATATACCATGTATTGAGGAAAGGATAAAAACAGGGCAGTCACTCAGAAGTTTTATGATTAAAAAGCGTGTCTGAATACTGAGTTCGAATGAATTTCCCGGAGATCAGACAGATTTTGTGAATTTGGATAAACACTTGACGTCTGAAGATTTTGGGAGGAAACTGACTGATGCCTGGGGTTGTAGCGAATCGACTGCTCCAGTTTTAGCTTTGAATCAAAAGCGAACATGATTTAAGTGTAACCGCTGCACTATGAGCGCATTCATCGACGGTTTTGAATGTGCGTTTATCATAGTTTCTTGTCTTCGCAAACAAACGAGACACATCAATTAATCTCAGAAAAAGGGCAACGTTTCCGGGAATAGAAACATAAGGTCATTCGTTTCTTAAGAACTACAGATCCCAGAAATAACCTTTCCTAATGAGAAAAATTACATTAACCTTTTAAAACACGGTCATCGTGGATTCAAGTCGAATGTAAAGGAAAAAAAAAACAGCGCGCCAATGATTGCAACATGAACTACCCTGCGTTTACTACAGATGTGTGGTGTCTACATTCGCCCGAAAATTATACTATCTTTGATTGCGTTTGTTTGACTATTTTTTTGGCATCTTCTACCATAAAAGGATAGAATTACATAGAAGGTACTCTAAGATGTTATTTTTTCACTGAGAAAAACGCCACAAGCGGCAAGGATAACTGCAATGTTTCATCGAAAATCACATGCTGCACGTTGCGTAATTATACCTCAATGGCGGCACAGCCATTATACCTCAATGGTGGTACAGCAAACGCTTGTTGAGAAAAGATAAGATGGTGTCTTATTTTTTTCGTTTGGAATGTTTTTCACAATGCTACATTATTGATATTGTGTCCCAGCTAAAGGAAAACTAGTCCATTAATTTCGTCTCTAGCTATCATGAAACTATGATAATGACACGTTGGATTCTCATCTCATGGGCACAGAGCAATGTTGTAGACATTCTTTGCCATTTGCCACGGGAGTTGTTGATTTTCGAACTCGCAGAAAATGATTTTACTTTGTTAATTCTAGAATAGTATTTGTTTACATCTGATACCATTGAAAAGCATTGTAACTTGTGGTTCTAAATGACGAAAATCAAGAAATAATTGAAAGGAACCGAGTGCAACATGATTGCATGTGCAAAGTTGTATTCAGAATTCGTGGAAACGTTAGATGGAATTTCGCAAAATCATCTGAGTTTACAAGACACATCGCAACAGCAGTCCTTCTTGAGATCATATCTATTCACACTATTAGTAGTGGCTGCATAGAAATCAATGTCCAAAGCTGAATTCTACGAGTAACAAACAAAGGCATTAATGCAAGTATTGTTAAGTATGTTGACAGACTTTTCAGACTCGTTTCAGCGCTCGGTGAAGAAAACTTCCTCAGGTATCACTTGAAGAGAGCTTTTCGGGAAAGATATCTCCTTCTTTGATATTCACAGTGCTCAGTTCGTTTAAAGCTTGAGCATGAAAGCTCTCGAATTCAATTGAGTGGTTTAAGTGTCTGTGAAAAAGACGGCAGAGGCCGATGAAATGGGTCAGCAGTGAGATCTCCTCCATGTTTACTGTTGCTTGCTGCCCCTTCCAAAAAGTCTTGAATGTGAACTTTCTCAAATGGCTGTTTCCCAGCAGTGTTAAAAGATACATGAGCAGAATACAAAGCTATTTCAGATGTACTCATAACACCAAATGGTGCCACCGTCTGTCCATTATCTTGTTTTAAATAAACAGCAAAATGGCGCATGAATTACTCTGAATAGTTAGGACCCAATTTAAATGTTTGTGAGAAGGAGCTGTAAAAGTATTGATGTTTGCTTCCCTCGTTGCGGCGGAGGAGAAATCTCGTCGATTTTTCGGTTCATAGACAAGCTTCGTTAGCAAGAACGCTGCAAGAAATAGAAACCAGCAAGTCTGGGTTTGGATAAAATTTGGCCCCACAAGATGGCCACTTTACTGCTTAAAACTTGCAAAAGATACAAATTAATTAATACGTGTTCTTCCATTTATTATCTGCTAAGCGCTATTAAAGGTAAGGGAACGTAGAAAAAAAAGGACGAGAAAAAGATGCCCATGCCAAATACATATAATGAAACAAATAGCAAAATGTAAGGGGGTTCCAACTGCTCTTGCTTTGTGTGTCAGGTTCGGAGACAAGAAGGATGAAATCGAGAAACGTCGTACTATGTCATTATAATGATTCCTAAAGGTTCAGTAGTTTCCATCAAACTCGTAAATCTTATCCAAAGAACCCACTATTGTTATTAAGTTGCCAGATAACCTTGT